CAAAGAATATTTAGAAAGAGGCAAAATGATTTGAACTACAATGTTAAAATCTGAGCTTGAAATCTGCCACTTATGAGCCTTGGCAAATCCCCTGACACACCATCTTTTCTTTACTGCATCATTTCTATCAGCATGCAAAGGTACTGCTGTCTCTCTCTCCCACCTTAAAAATAAAAAAAGATTTTCCTTTGGCCCCACTTCTCCTTCCAGCTGTGACCTCAATTCTCTGCTCCTCCTCTCAGCAAAACTCCTTTGAAAGACTTGTCTATAGACAAGGTTTCCAATTTCCTTTCTCCCATTTTTTCTTGAACCCACTAGAGTCAGGCTTTCACCCTGTTGTGATATTAATACAGTATGTATTTGGTCTTCATCCCTGTCTCCTGGCACACAACTTTCCTAAAATTCTCAGTCTCCAAAGTGCTGTCTTTCTGTATGCTATGCTAATGAGTTGAGTGATAGCTGGCATCTACCAGGTAGCTCCAGGATGGGGCTGGTTACAGAAAAGACCAAGGCAGTCCCACCTTCAACCTTCAGGGAGGGGTGAGAGACTGAAGGTTAAGTTGATCACTGATGGCCAGTGATTTAATCAATTATGCCTAGGTAATGAATCCTCCATAAAGCCCAAGAGGCCAGAGTTCAGGGGGTTTTGGGACACCTGAACATGTGGGATTCCTGGAGGGTGGCATTCCCAGAGAGGGCACAAAAGCTCTGTGATCCATCCCCACACCTCGCCCTGTGCATCTCTGCACCTGTATCCTTTGTAATATCCTTTATAATAAATGAGTAAACATCACTAAGTGTGTCTCTGAGTTCTGTGAGCCATTCAGCAAATTAATTGAACCCAAGGAGGGGGTTATGAGAACCCCAATTTGTAGCCAGTCGGTCAGAAGCTCAGGTAAAACAACCTGTATAAGCACAAAAGTGGGGACAGTCTTGGGGACTGAGCCCTCAATCTGTGGGATCTGATGCTATCTCCAGGTGGACCGTGTCAGAGTAGATGTGAATGAGGGGACACCCAGTAGATGTTGGCTGTGGAATTGATTGCTGGCTGGTGGAGAGGAGTCTCCACACATTTGTTCACAGAAGTCTGCCTTCTGTGTTGACTGTTACTGAGCAAGAGTATAGATGGAAAAACGCTTTGGTTGTGTTTTTCCAAACCCCCTGCCACTCCACCAGTGTGTCTTATCCATGTCATCAGTGATGTTCATGCTCTTCATCCTACGTGTTATTTCAGCGGCATTTGGCATGATCCATCACGTTCCTTCTTGAGGCACACTCTTCCTGTGACTTCTAGGATGCCACACTTTCCTGGGTTTTCTTTTCCACACTGGCTACTACCTCTCAGTCTCCTTTGCTGGTTTCCAACCTCTTAACATTGGAGTACCTCTGGGCTTGGCGTTTGGACCGCTCCTCCTTCCATGTTTTCAGTATCATTTCCATACTGATGTTTCTAGCCTAGACCTCCCTCCACAGCTCCAGCATTCCATGTCCAACTGGCTACTCAACGGTTCCACTTGAGTGACTAATACACATCCCAAGTTGAACCAGTCAGCACTGAGTTCTTGCATGTCCCCCACACCTGTTACTCTTGTAGTCTTCTCTAGCTAATAGATGGCACCTCCATTCTTTCAAGATTTAAATCATATCATGTACATAAATTATACCATGTACCAGTGTTTTTCCCCTCATTCAGGCTCACCATGATCTGTCCCTTGCCACTGCTCTGATATTGTCTCTCATACTCTCTCCTGATTCACTCTGCCCAAGCCACAGTGGTCTCCCTGCCCAGGGAGTCTTTGAATCTGTCTTTCTCAGTTTCTGGACAGCTCTGCCCCAGATGTCCTCATGGCTCCCTCGTTTACTCCCTTCACATATCACCTTCTCCCTGAGGCCTTCTCTGGCCACCCTATCTGCAGCTGCATGCCTGCCTCCCCAGACACATACTCCTAGCTCCCTTCCCTGCTCGTTATGACCTTATGTCTTACCATGAACACACTACATATTTTTTTATTTTAATTACTATAAAGGTCCTGTACTAGAAGTTATTTTTTTTCCCACTGTTGTATCCCCAGCACCTTGAACAGTGGCTAGCAAAAAGTAGGCTCTCAAAAAAATTAGCTGAATGAATGAAGATAATTAGTGATAATAAGAATAGCTACCTCTTAGGCAGAGAGGTAAGTAGAAAGTAAATGAAATAAGTGCTTAGTACATGTGAATGCACAATAAATGTTAATTATTTACATTCATATCATATACCCATGTGTACCAGTAGGAAATAATTTTTAAGTGGGAACTGCAGGAAAGGAAGGAGAAATTCTAGTTCAAAGAAATGGTATGGAAGTACGTGGTTTTGCAAGTCAGCCTCAGGCAAGGTAAAGCTAGCTGATGGAAACATATTGGAGTTTGGCCCAGATAACCAGCTCCCAGGCCTGCCTGGGGGTGAGAGGATGAGGGAGGAAGGGCGTGGGAGGCAGGCTGGCACTCATGTGAGTGGGTTCACGGGGTCTGTATGCAGTCTTCTTGATGGCTCAGGGTGACACCTCTAGGCTATGGACTGCTGTGAGCTTATGTCCATCTTGAGTATCCCTAGCAGTGCTCAGGCTCCAGGGCAAGAGGCAGGGCTTGCAGTATCTGCCTTTCTCTAGGACTGGAAATGTACATGCTAAATCAATGAACCACTCCAAGTTCAGGGAAGGAGATTGCTGCATGCGTTCATATACTTTTTAATAGAATGCTTGGCTCTTCATAGTATAAATCCTTGAGGTGGAGAACAGCATTCCAGTGTCTCTGTTATGTTGCTTTATGCCTAACACATAGTGATGTTACACGTTTTCTCACAGGTTGGAACAAAAATTGATTCAATGATCTAGAAGGTCATTGTCATGTACATACATATTTTAAACTGAGAATGCAATTTTAAAAAGGCACTCTAATTCTTGAAGCTATAAAGGATATATAATTCTCAAAAGCCTTTGCATCCAGATATAGCCGTTTGATTAGCTGGTATAGACACAGTCAATGAGTGAAACTCCCTTGTAAAACACATCATCTTTGAATTATATAACACGAAGTTGATTTACATGGATTTTCCCTAGACTTCACTAATTGACTCCCTACACTCCCACCAAACAGTTCTCGGAAAACAGGCAAAGAGGCAGTTTAACTAACCGCTACTTCTCCCGGTGACAGTGTGAATGCACCTTGAAGACATTCAGAGGCAGATACTGCGTCCTGTGACCATTGATGTCACAGTACTTTGCAAACCCTTCCTAGTTCCAGAAAGAACATAGAGGCAGCCTCTACAATACCCGCCTCAGCGTTTCTCTACAATTTGCAGCTGGTTTCCCATGTGGAGTGTGAACTTTACTTGCTACACTGGTGCGGACATGACCAGGACCTCTAATTACATTTGTTCCAAAGTGGTGACCTTAGACTCTATACACCAGTGTGTAGGATGTGTACGAGGGTACTTCAAAAGTTCATGGAAAGATTGATATTATCTTTCCATTTTATTTTTCCATGAACTTATTGAAATGCCCTCATATGTATACATGTAGTTATAGACAGGCAGTATATATAAACATGTATTTATGCTACGTAAGCATATGTTAGGGAGAAAAAATAAATAGGAAATGACAGATCATGACAGAAAGAAAAGAAGTGAGGAAAGAGATGAGAAAGGAGTGAAAGGGAATTAACGTGCATTAAGCTTCTACTATGATCCAGGCACCCAGAAACGAAGGCGGTGGGGAGACCAGAGCTGGGGGTATGCAGTTATCTAGATGTTAAAGAAAGAACTTGTAAAAATCTCCTCCTTAAAGGAGAGTGCTGTAAAGCGGATGCTGGCAGCCCATCGGGGAATGCTTGTCAAGCTACTCCGAGGGAGAACAGAAGGCTGTGGGGCACTGGTTTCGGCTTTGTCTCTCCTAGGTGCTGGGCTGCTGTCTCACCATAAGGAGAGTTATCTTTGAAGTTCTGCTGAGCAGTCTAGATAGCATGACTTAAAAGTGCAAGTCCCTAAACAGGGTTCAGCTTGCCAGAATACAAATGCTCGGATAACCACGAGAAGTCAGACATTTTCCTTTAAACCCTAGAGAATGCTAGTAGTCTCCATAATTAAAAGGATGATCCTAGGAGACTCTATATGAGAGGTTTCAGGGCTAAGGTAACAGTTTTGTGGTTTGTTTTTGTTTTGCTCAGGGGTCCTCAAAATTTCTTTTCTTTTTTTTTTTTTTTTGTCTTTTTCCGTGTCCGGCAATGGGTCGCAACCCTCAGTGTCGCCCCCATACCGGACTGGGACCGGCAACGGGATCGCAACCCTCGGTGTTGCTCCCGCGCCTCGCTCAGCCAGTGAGCGGGAACCGGTCTGTATGTGGGATCCGAACCCTCGGGTGGGAGCGCCGCCACGCTTCCCAAGCGGTGCACTATCCAGTGCGCCACCGGGCCGGCCCGTCCTCAAAATTTCTGTAATTGCATCTTGTGATTCCTCTGAGGCATTTGAGGTGATGGGCAGAGGGGAGGGGTGACCTTGCAGGGTTTGCGGGTAGGTGGAGGTAGGGTCAGGTCCAGCTGAACTTGGGGCATGATGATGACAGAGGGATGAAAGCACAGCCATTTTAGAGAGCTTTAAAGTAACGTTTGCTTAGGAATTCCTGGCCAATTATAGGTTTTTTTTTTTGGACGTCACTTTTGCTTTCTCCACTCCCGCTGCCCTGAGATCCCATCAGATGTCCTTAGCATCATTGGGTAAATTACAGGAGCTTCTCTACCTCCATTTGCATTTTGGGGTAGATTGCATTGTTTAGTCCAATTCTTCATCATTCCCTATATGCCCACACCTTGCCATATAACTTTGCAGTGCTCTCCCACTGTGGGCTGGGGACCTGTTCAGCCTCCTGACTGTGGACTGAGCCTATGGCTTTTTTTGGCCAATAGGATGATTAGGGGATGTTGATGGAAGCAGAGGCTTGTAATGGAAAGCCTTTTTTTTTTTTTTTGCTTCAACACTTGGGCTTGTTCTTTGGCTGGGAGAAGGACAGATACATGGCACTGGCAAAGGTGCCCCAGTCAAGCCTACGCTAGAATAGAGCCCCCAACAAACCCACAGACACATGAATGAGCTTAGTTGGTATAAGCAGAACTACCCAGCCTGACTCAGCTCAAAATGGCTGAAGCTTGCAGATGTGTGATAAAATAAACGTTTATTGTTGGACGCCACCGGGGTTGAGTGGTTGTTTGCTACACTGTGAAAACTAATCAATATAATTGCCATTTGATCTATGTTCCTCATGTCTGCTGGTGTGATATTTCTAAAATAGAACTCCAATTATCCTAAAATTATTCTGCCTAAGACCCTTCAATGACTTCCTGTTATGGGCTGAATTGTGTCCTCTCAAAATTTATGTTAAATTCCTAACCCCAGTACCTTAGAATGTGACCTTATTTGGAAATAGGGACAATTATCCTAAAATTATTCTGCCTAAGACCCTTCAATGACTTCCTGTTATGGGCTGAATTGTGTCCTCCCAAAATTTATGTTAAATTCCTAACCCCAGTACCTTAGAATGTGACCTTATTTGGAAATAGGGTCACTATAGATGTCATTAGCTAAGATGAGATCTCACTGGAGTAGGGTGGCCCCTAACCTAATATGACTGCTGTCCTTATAGAAAGAGGATATTTTGAGGTAGACACAAGGAGAATGCCATGTGGATGTGAAGGTGGACGTCAGGGTGATATGTCTACAAGCCAAGGGATGCCAAAGATTGCCAGAAACCCCCCGAGTCGAAGAGAGCCATAGAACAGATTCTCCCTCACAGCCTCAGAAGCAACTAATCCTGCCAGCAGCTTGATCTCAGACTTCTGGCTTCTAGAAATGTGAGACAATGAATTTCTGTTATTTAAGCCACTCACCCCTCCTTTTGGGATAAAGTCCAGATTCCTTCACAAGACGTGTAAGTCCTTCTGTGAGCTGGCCTCTGGCAACCTCTACTATCTCACCCCTCACTGTGGCGCACTTGCTGCAGCCTTGCCCCATTCACTGGCCACACTGCACTGTGTGCAGAACTTCCATCGGCTGCTTGACAGGCTTTGTCCACGCTGATCCCTCGGCTTCAAATGCCCTTCCTCCTACCCTCCATCTCCCACTGGGCCCCAAATCTTTACCTAGTTAACTTTTATTTGCCTTTCAAGCTCCAGTTTGGGCATCATCTCTGGAAACTTTCTCCTCACCTTCCCAATCCTAACTGTGGGATTACTAATAATAATTAATAACTAATAACTGTGGGATAACTGCTAATAAGCCAAGGTTATAGACTGTATGTCCTTGTATTCCTGGTACGTACTTAGCACAGTGCTTGGCGCAGAGTGGCTGTGTAGCAAACGTTTGTGGAAGGAATGTACACGTGTTCATTTGCAAATATCCTAACAGATGCGTTCTCGGCGTAAGGGAGATACATTCTGCTTGTGTGACACCTGGCAGGTGAGTTTGCTTGGAAGCAAAAGTATCCAATTAAAGACCAAACATCACTTCCTCATTCTTCATGCCCTTTTCTGTATAACTACCCAATCTCGCATGCTTTATAATGCTTTTAGATGTGAGCGACTGTGAATTATTACCAACTATAGGCCTTTAATCTTTGAGACTGACGGTCTACGTTCCACATCTCTCAGGAGGGAGAGCGTATTATAACTATATTTCTGCTTACCAAGGGAATAGTTAATGGTTATCCTGGAGGGGAAAAAATCTATAAATATCCAATCCATAATGAAGCCTTAAGCTTACTTTCTTCCTTTACTAATGAAATTCTTTCTGTGTGCACGGCCAGAATTGCTATGTGCCATTATACCAAGAAGAGAGACAACGCCTGTAGTAAGTTTCTTCTTTTACCTGTTTGGTCCTCATTTTCGAATCCGAAGACAGATTGTTGTAGGTATAATGTGCCTGTGTGACNTGAAACCCGGGTACATCTTGCTACCTGCTTTAAACATGGGTCTTGCAGGGTTAAACCTAAAGAGAAGCACTAAGCAGATTCTTAATAAAAATGAGAAGTAGATTCTTCTGGAGATAAACTATTACCTGGTCATGACTTAGGAAAGTTATACTTGGAAACATATGAACAAAAGACTGTATAGTCAACTCTGGGCTTCTTATATCCAGTGCTAACAACTTTGCTGCATTTTATAGCAAATACTGGCATATTTGCTCAAAGATATTGCTTTCCACTGTGTACCTTGGGGAGCCCGAAGAGGTTCCTGTTGATAGGGATTGAATTTTGTCCCCCAAGTTTTATGTATTAGAGGTCTGATCCCCACTGTAACTGTTGAGGGCAGGAAATCCTATTATGGTAGTTAAAAGGTGAGGCCTTGAAGAGGTGATTAGATTGTAGAACCATGCCATAGTGCACATACTAATAATGATGGTGAGGGGCATGGTTCTGAGGCCTTTAAAAGGAGCGCAGAACACGTGAGAGTCCCTCTCTCTGCATTGCCA